GCAGTTCTGGAGGGCTCACTTCAAAAAGAATGTGGACAGAATGGAGCAGGTGCAGAAGAGAGTGACGAGGATGATCGGGGGCCTGGAGACCAAGCCCTATGAGGACATGCTGAGGGACTTGGGAATGTTCAGTCTGGAGAAGAGGAAGTTGAGGGGGGACATGATTGTTCTCTTGAAGTCTTTGAAGGGCTGTCACTTAGAGGAGGGCAGGGAGCTGTTCCTGTTGGCAGCAGAGGAGAGGACTCGCAAGAATGGGTTTAAATTAAAGGAGGGGAAGCTACTGGCTGGATCTTAGGAAAAAGCTGTTAACAAGGAATCAGCTACCTGGGAAGGTGGTGAGCTCCCCCCACTGGCAGTCTTTAAGCACTTGTCAGGGATGCTAGACTGATCCTGCATTGAGCAGGGGGTTGGACTAGATGGTCTGTATGGCCCCTTCGAGCTCTGTGATTCTGTGATTAAAACAACTGGCCAGCTCCCTGGTTTGTAATGCTAACCAAAGGCCGTGTGAAACAACATAGCCTTGCTTGCCCTGTGTAATGCTGGGAGGTCCTGTAGGGCATGAACTTCCCCAGGGAGCTGGTTCCAGAGAAGGGGGGGGGGGCAGCCACTCAAAATTCCCTTGCCCTGGTGATAGACAGGCAGGCAATTTGCGGGCCAGGCAGCTGTAAAAGGCCCCGGGATGATGATCTAATGATATGCTTGAAAAATGTCATATGTTCCCACTCCCACATATTGCACAATTTTGCACCAAAAGCCAATTTTATTGTGGTACAAATGCAGCTACCTGTTTGGGATTGGTCCAGCTTGCTTGAGTTTCCTTCTTGAGCTGGTTAACCCGTTTACAAGTTTGACCATCACTGAAGAGTTGAGTCTGAGAGCTCGGAAAGGTGGTGTGAGAGAGACCTTCCAATCAAGGGATGTAGGGTTTGGCCACGGAGAAACTATTTTACCCCAGTTTTAGCAGCCTGTTTGAAACCGGGGGAGTGGTGTGGCATAGAGGAGACAGAACAGTAACCAGAAAATAGGTAGAACTTGTTTTCTGCCTCCCTTAGTTATACTTTTGATAGACCTCAAGGAATAGCAAAAGGGGAGCTGGAATGAAGACAAGTAAATCACTGAATGGCTCAAAGGAGTCTTCAGAAGTGGAAGGTTCCTCATCTTTCTGTCCCCGTGATTCAGCTGATTTGCTTGGGATTTGGGGAATGAAAGTGCTTGCCTACCTGCATTGGTAGCCACCATTATGTGCTTTCCAAGAATGAAAGAAGAGGGGGGAAATAGATCTCATACAGCAGCTGTTGTGCTGAGGATTCTGCACTGCAGAATTCCCAGCACAGAAAGGAAGAGTCGCTTCTGGAAGGGCTGATGCCTCTTCCCTTGAATGCACTGTCTAAAATGCCAAAGGTGGTAGGCAGGTTGCTCAGAACATTCCTTGAAGCTGTTTTCCTAAGTGGAGGAGGCATCAGAGAAATGTTCTAAGGCAAATTCGTTTTCTCCTTGTCTCTTGCTTCAAACCACAAGGTCTGTTGTTAAGTGACTGAGTCCAGGTTGGAGAGACTCAGCATGATATAAAACTGTCAGACTAGGATCTGAGTGACACATAGGTGACCTTGGACCAGTCACGCTCTCAGCCTAACCTACCTCAGAGGGCTGTTGTGAGGAGTAAATTGGAGCACAGGAGAATGATGTAGTAAGCTGTTTTGGATACCTTTTGTAGTGGAAAGCAGAGTCTAAATATCTAATAATAATAGCTTCTAAAGCAGAAACATGCCTTTTGATCTTTTTATCAGGGTTGTTTTGATTCATTTTGACTTCACTCCACTTTGAGCTGTGCTTGGGTAGAAAAACTGTTGAGAAGTTGCCTAAATAACTGAGTAAATGAAATGAACAGATATGCTACTAATACTGTATTTACTCAAATGCAAGAGTACGTCCCCCCCCAGTTATTTAATCAAAAAGGGGGGTTGTCTTACATTCAAGTTACAGCTACGTCCAATAATAAAACCCCTTTTGTGTGTAACATTTGTGTGTGGGGGGGAAGATGTCTTATATTCAGGGGCTTCCTTTTGAAATGAGTTTGCAGGGATGCATATACATGTGCACCATTTTTTTTCCATGTTCACTTCAGTTGCGCTTATTGTTTTATTTATTTACTTATTTAATCAACTTCCACATTATTTTTCTCCACAGTCTGGACCCAAAGTGGTTTATGTTGTTTTCCTCTCCCCCATTTTGTCCTCACAGCAACCTTGTCAAGGTAGGTTAGGCTAAGTGTGTGTAACTGGCCCAGGGTCACCCAGCAGCCTTCCACAGCAGAGTAGGGATTTGAACCTCAGTCTTCGAGCTCTTCGTCTGAAACAGCACCACTGCACCACACTGGCTCTCACCTGGGGAGCTGACACAGTTAAGCACAGTGCTGAGGTGTCCTGACTTGGAGCCAAGGGGAAAGTCCCAAGTTCTGTTGGAAGTGAGCTAAACTGCTCGGTAAACCACCTCATGGTGACCCTGAGTCACATCAGACGTGAGAGGTGCTGACCTTTTTGCATGCGTGATGCTATTTACAGTAGAAACCCAAAGCCTGTCTTATGTATTTTTTTCTTCTTTATTATAGTGGAAATAATAGCTCCGTTCTGCACTATGGCCATGCTGGAGCACCAAATGATAAAACAGTTGAAGATGGAGATTTGTGGTGAGTGCAGACACTGGGGATTTATCCTCTCTCATACAATGCTGTGCATATACTGTGACTTTAAAAAAAAAAATCACTTCTGTATCCAAGAAATCCCAATCCATGATCAAGAAAATTGTAACTTTAGTAATAATTATATTTATATATATGATTATATATTTATGTAATTACATATTTACATGTAAATTACCAAAAAGCAGGTTGGTATGTGATCATTGGTATAATTTATTGCTGTTTTGCATAATTCATTCAGGGTTTGCCTGTGGGAGGGGCAAGGATGCTGAAGCCCCACCCCTGATCACAGGAAATCTTTCTCAGCCACTTCTGAGATTGAACATGCACTTCCAAGCAAAAATTAATAATCATGAGAATCAGAAACTATTGTCTGCTTTTTAAAAATGAAAGCCCCAGGTTCTTAGGGGACTGAATTCTGCATCCAATGCGAAATTCATGTTGTTTTTTTACCGTACTGCTGTGAAATTGTGGCATTCACAGCCCTGACCTGGCATTGCCAACTCTGGGTGGGGAAATTCTTGGAGATTTGGGGGTGGAGCCAGGGGAGGGCAGGGTTTGGGAAGAGAAGAGAACTCAGCAGAAGTTAATGCCGTAGAGTCCACCCTCCAAAGCAGCCATTTTCTCCAGGTACTGATCTCTGTAGTCCGGAAATCGCTTGAAATTCTGGGAGATCTCCAAGCCTCACCTGGAGGCTGGCAACCCTACCCTTACCACAGCTCCACGTGTGAACCCCTGTCGCATTTTCCTTCCATATTATTAATGCAAAGGATTGACCTAATACAACAAATTTCAGGAAATGATGACATATTTAGGAGGCCAGTGGGAATAGCATGAACGGGCAATCTGAATCTTGTTTCGAATATTAGAACAAGAGAAGAGCCCTGCTGGATCAGACTAGTGGTCTCTCTAGTCCAGTATCTTTTTTTTTGGGGGGGGGTGAGTATTTTGTATGTATGTATGTATGTATGTATGTATGTATGTATGTATAGGCCTTGAAGTTATGGTGACTTCTGGTGACCCCTAGTGGGGCTTGGACGTTTCAGAGAGGTGGCTTGCTATTGCCTGCCTCTGCGTCCCGGCCCTGGTATTCTTTGGAAGTCTCCCTTCCAAGTACTTGCCGGGGTCGGCCCTGCTTAGCTTCAGAGATCTGATGAGATCAGGCTTAGCCTGGGCCATCCGGGTCAGGGCACCTCTAGTCCAGTATCTTGTTTCACACAGCCCCTGACCAGTTGCCCTGTAGGGGCAACAAGCAAAGCGTAGTGGCCAAAGCTTGATGCTGCCTCCCTGCACTGGTATTCAGAGGCCGACTGCCTTTGAATATGAAGGCCCCCCTTATTCCCTATGGCAAGGCCTTCCTGCACCAAGAATGAGAGGGAAATGTAATCATTTTCTGTGGGTACTTGGCTAGTGTTTAAGAAATTCAGGCTAAGAGCGGAAGGACAAGAGACCTTTGGGTCATACCGCTGGGCATGCCCATACCTTAAATAGCCGTGGAGCAGGGAGAAAGAGTTGTAAGCCCAATGTTACGTCATTGTTGCTATCCAGCAAGAGGCCTCTTCACCAGTTTTCCTCCCTGCCCGTGGTTGTTTCCTCCTCCTGATGCTTCGTTAATCTGCACACTCGATTTCTAAGTTTGGCTTCTAAACTCCATGCTTATGGCTCAGGTGAATTATATGGTGGCTTCCATCCAAGTGTCCTTTCCATTCTGAATTGGCGCTGGCAGTGTGGTGGAAGGGGGTACACATGATGCCACCAAATACTGAATCAGATCCTTGGTCCATCCAGGTCAGTATTGCCTACTCAGCCTGGCAGTGGCTCTCCGCGGTCTTAGGGGGAGGTCTTTCCCATCACCTACCACATGGTCTTTTCAAGTGGAGATGTCAGGGACTGAACCTGGGACCTTCTGCATGCCAAGCAGATACTATGTCACCAAACCATGGGCTTCCTCCCCTACACAGCTGAGAGGCAAACAATAATAACTCTTTCCTCTGCGGCAACTTCAACTCCAGTGATATACATCTGCATCGGAGTCCCCTCCCCCATGCGCTTTCCCATTGGATAGATTATTGAAGCCACACGGCAAGCAGTTTCTTGGATGGCAGGCAAGGGGTGGGATCCCGTGGATCCCTTCCTGTAGTAGTGGCGGTCTCATTTGGCTCAGGGACTCTCCCACTGATGCAGAGCTTCCTTGCGGTGGAGGACAGCGCCGACTCTGGGGTTGCCCATTCCTCCAGTTTGAAAGGCTGACGCAGAGAGATATTCAGAGGGTACATTTGGTGAGGGTATTCAGAGGGTTGCATAGAAAGAGAGCACCTACTTTTCCGTGTTACTAGCATCAGTTTATATCTCAGTTTTGGAAGTGCACAAATTAGCTGTCTGGTGACGTATTAAAATTCCATACATGAGCTTGCAGGAATCCAGCAATCAACTCCGAGAACCACGATTGGCAGATAATTTTTGTTGGTTAGCACCTTTCTAACAAGAAATGTACACATCCCATATTAATGAAGCCACAGCTCAGAAGTCAAGATCTTTCCTCACTGTCCTAATTAGTTGTCAGCTACGCTGCCATTGTATGTGGGGAGGGGTAGGAGGCTGCAGGGTGAACGTCTTAATGTGCTGGAATGTTAACTTTCACTCCTCCTTGCTGAGGACTTATCTGTTTTTCGGGTGCCTGACCTTGGTGCTTCACGAGCTTTGCTCCGCCTGGGAATGTGAACCCCTTAGTTTAGGCACAACCCGTTCACACCTCTGATTGGCTCGGCTCCATCGGGGACCCCACTTTGAACGCGATATAACTTCTCCCTCTCCCGTCTTTAGAGTTAGCTCTAACACGGAATATATGCAAAGGTGACCTGCCTTTACTGTACTCAATAAGCTTGATCCTTTTAAAGGAACGTTGTTGAGACTGATTGCTGTGGGACTCTGACATTAGTCCGATCAGTTTCAACTTTTTAAGTTCACTGGTTTTCTAGAAGATATCTTGGGGCCTAGTCAGTAGTCTTATCACTTTTACAGGGACAAGGCAGTAAAGTGGCTGCTGGAAGCCACAGAATAACCTCTTTTTAACAAGCTCTGTCTAACTTCCAGTTTTGATAGTAGTAGATGGGTCAGGTGGGTAGACTGAAATGTCCAGCAACCCTGTAAGCTTTTCATGAAGGAAAACAAGACTCTTCAAGCTTTAGGTCAGATGTTGAGTCAGGAGCTCATCGCCCTTTAAATAACAGATGTTATATGTCTATAAGAGTCTAAATCCAGATCCCCAGACCTACACTGGAAATGCCATCCATGCTGAGAACATGAGGATTGTTGCCAGTGTTATTTATTTGGGAGATTTCTATTTTGCTTTTCAGTCAACAGGTTCTCAAAGTGAGTGACCAGTAACAAAACAATGACAATATACAGTGTAAAACAAATCTACAGCCAGTCATCAGGCCAGCTGAATCTATATCTGTGGCCAAATTATATAGAATGGCCCAACAGCAAAGACTTACACAGATAAATGCCTTTAAATTCAGTTGGTCACTCAGGGAGGAGAGAATTCCTTTTTAGCACAAGCAGTTTCGGGGACTTTGATTCCTCCTCTTCCTGTCCCGTGTCTCTGATACCAGATAAGTTCCTGCCATGTGCTTGCAACTCTGTGGGTCCCATGTCTGGGGCTAGCTATCTTGTGGATCTTAAAAGATCCTATCACCTGTGGAACCACAATAGTAAACGCATATTCAGAGTCTATCACCGGACCAGTACAAGAGGGAATCACGGCCAGATTTTCTGCAGCCAGTAAAGGCTTTCAGTGGTTTTGATCATCCCAGTTATCACCCCAAAATGCTATATTGTAAAGGTGTAAATTAGACACCTAGTTAATCGCTAGGATGTGGAATGGTATAGTAGAGCCCGATCTTGGAAGCTAAGCAGGGTCAGTCTTTGGATGGGAGACCACTAAGGAAGACTTTGCAGAGGAAGGTAATGGCAAACTGCCTCTGCTTAATCACTTGCCTTGAAAACTCTGTGGGGTCGCTGTAAGTTGGCTGCCAATTGACAGCACTTACACACACAGAGACACACACACAGTTAATAGCTGCTTTGCCTGCATTGCTGATTTGGTGTCCTGGGATATACAAACCTGTGCCATCATAAAGCTGTACTGAAGAGTCTACTCTGATCATCCTTATCTGGGGCTTCTGCTCAGCTTCTCAATAAAACCTTTAATGGCTCCGGGGGGCCCTCTGTTGGAAAACCCTTGCCACACAGTCATTTTTCTCTCTGGCAAAACTGGGAGTGAAAAGACGCACATTCGAGTTATCAGGCTTGCCCAACAAATGAGTGTTGATAACTGAATTGTTGCAGATCTTAAATACGACTTCAGCATATTTCTCTTGGTCTGACTGTACATCACACACACGCACACACAAACACCCACACACCCCGAGAGAATGAAAGGTCTTTCATTAAAACCGGGACCTGGGCCTGGCATTGTCCCTTACTCCGCTCCCCATAACTAGGTTGTCTAAAGCAGCAGTCCTTAACCTTTCCAGATCTCTGGGACATACTTTTAACCCCAAGCAGCAGCATCTAGGACCCATGGAGTTGCAAGTATGTGGCAGGAACTTGCATGACGTCACAGGCACATCACAGGAAGAAGAGCAGCCAAGGTCCAAACCTGCCTGTGCTTAAAAAAAAACCTCTTCCACCACTGAAGGCTCTTGCCTCTCTGTTCTGCTGCTCCCCTCAGTGGATGTGCAGTCACCTTTGGTGTCTACACATACACAACTGTAGCCAGTCCTTCCAAAAAAGCAGCCCCCCCAAAAGTCAGTTATGTCGGGTTCAGTGACCTGCCTGGGTGTCCCGGCCCATGTGCTGGGGGATTCCATCAGACTGGATTTTATCCTAAAGTTCTCTCTGACCTGGTAGAGTTGTTCTGATGGACTGAGTATCCAAGTAGGGTGCATTTCCAGTAGGCAAATGACAGCCACCTTCTGGCTCCC